GGGACACACCACCTCTTGGCTCTCCACGCCGTACGACTGACCAGGACAGTCTACATCTTTGTTAGAGGAAGTGCAGAATCTTTGACGAGTTTTCTTACAATTGGAACTGCAGGGTCCAAAGTCCGACCAGCTGCTCCATCCGGGCCTGCCTGAATTTATAGCATCTAGAACAAAAACGGAATTACAAAAATATGAGGTCAATGTGGAATAGCTTACAAGTGGGAACGAAGGGAGGAAGGGGAAACAGCACGTTGATATCTATATTTGTCACACTGATATACAGAATTGGCATTGTCCCAAGAGCGTTATTACGGCCCCGGCAACGACACCTCCAATTCGTGTTGTATCGATGGAAAAAATTCAAATTTCTGTGGCAACTAGCTTTTAATGTGGCAACCTCCAACCTAGAGGACCAGGGGATATCGTCTGGTCTCTACCCTTCGGCCTGTTCGGCATTGGGTGACCTTACCAGGAGTGAAAGACTCTAGCCGACAAATAAAAGCTTTAGGGGACACAGACAGGGAGACTACCCCACCGCGATGAGATGAGAAAAGATGATAGCATGATGATAATGATGATGATGATAATGATGATGATGATGATGATGATGATGATGATGATGATGATGATGGTGATGTACAGAATGCAGCCAAGCAGAAAAGTAGGAAGCTATTGAATATTCCTTGTGCTTTACAGGTTTTGTGTTAGGTGTTTGACCCAAATCTTGACATTAGCTGTAGTGTATAAACAAGATTCTGCAATTGTGTCTCTTTGGATTCTTTACTCGTAGCTTGATTCTTCTACTCATTAAACACGTCCGGAGTGCTTTGTGGCATACTACTCAAAAGGTATAACAATCACGTAAAGAAAGCCCTTGCTTAAAGGATAAATATAAGACAGTAATATATCTTCCAGAATCTCCCACTTTAGGCGATATACACTGACCGGGCGCGATAGTACAAAGGGTATCGCAAGGCCCTTTTGTCGCGTTGCATACAATGCAAAGGGGGGGGGGGGGTGGCGAATGGTAAATGCGAGACTTTACGAGACGGCAAGACAAGCGTTTTTCTCTGCGAGCCTGAGGCATTTTAACTTTTTAGATTGCGAGGCGCGGACTTCAAAGTGCTTTAAGTGCGAGACGTCCAGACTCTTAAATTCGAGCACCAGATTTAGTTGAGAGCTAAAATGAGCTTGTACAGCTTTTTGGCCAGCTTCTTCGAACCTGGGGGGGG